GCTAGGGAGAATCTTGTTGTTGTTGTTGCTACTTTTTGATAGAAGTGGCAACACTGCATTGCTGGAAATATTTTAAATGGAATGAGTGTACTCTTAAATATAAGCTTGCATATTTTCATAGATTTCTCCCGACTGATTCATGATATAGAGATAGTTTGAGCTCGTCGTGACATACCCTGTATAGTCCCTAATTTTCTCTTGTTGTTGTTCGATGTCTTAACTAATTTCCTGTAAGGAAATCGAGATCAAGGGTTGATTGGTTTTGAATTTTTGAGGATTTCTATGTACTATTTCTATCGCCTTCTTCCTATAGCCCAGAGTGTATGAGAGCATGTTACACAGTGAAAAATTATCCGGTGTAATTTCAATCGAGTCGATTTCAGGAATAACTCCGATTGAATCAACACTTGATTAGCAATATTTTATCATTATTATTTGAAACTCGATAATGCCGTGTACAGTGGTGTCAATTCACACGGAAAAATCACACGGATGTGGTAATTTGGAGGGGTTCTGAAATATTCATTCAAAAGTAACACCAAAATGATGAAAAGTGATTACTTTCAATAGTGGCACTATTCAAGTTAACGCAGAAAATACACCCATTGTATGAAATTAACACCTAGTGACACCATCACCATTCACGAATTAATCAAAAACCGTGTATGAATCATGGGATTTGGGGCTAATATAATTCACTCATCGTCTTGCATTCTCCCATGAGAATAAATAATGTTGCTGATGTTGAAAAAAATTATTTGGCGCCTAAAACCCTCACGAACTATGTCATCAATTTTATAGTTTCCTTTCTCCTCCTAACTAGCAAGCCTGATGATGACTCCTAGGAGTCGAAAGATGTAGCACATATGATTTTATTAAAATTTACTTGGAGCGAGACTTTGAGTTTGTTCTCTTAATTATACATATATCTATTTATATTCAATGTGGATGTACCTATGTGTTGTGAACAAGAATGTGGAAGAAAATAAACAACTTCAATACCGTCTCACGACCGCGAGCTCGTGGGTTCGATTCCCAGCACGAGCAAGGACCTTTTTTCAATAATTTATTCACGAATTGAATATTGTGAAGTTTCGGAGCATCGGCTGGAGATAGTCCTGCACAATTCGTTGTTGCGTTCCAATCAACAGTGCTGCTCCTAAAGTGGCGCATGGAGTTAGTAACCAAGCCTACAAAGAACACGCAGAAAGAAATGATGATATGGTTGTGAGCATCAGAGAAGAAGCAGAACGGTGTATGTAGGTTGGTGAGGAAACTGGGCCAATGCTGCTTACTGGACCTCGGTATCTAACGAGGGTTAACGAGAATAGCTAGCAAGCCTGCCACTGCAGCATATAGTTGTGAGAACATTACTAGCCTACAAAACACAGCCGAAAAACTCTGAATGTTGTTGGACGGTACCTGAAAAGGATTTTAGCCAGCTCTCTTATGCGAACCACATCACTCATTAAAAACACCTTGGAGCTTGCAAAACGGTTCCATAAGGGACTAGTTGCTGACGTACAAACGTCCCCCACCAGTACCAGTAGCTGGTGTGAACTGGTGTTATTATTTTTTTCACCGTGTAGGCTGAATCTTAATATTTTGGTGTTTACTATGTGTAATTCAGAAAATGCAGATTCTTGATGAATCACCCTGTACAAGTCAATGTAGTCCCATTTTTTCTTTCACCTCAACCTTTTCTCGGTGATTTTTCATTATACTGTCTTATTTTCAGAGGTACTTAGGTTGGCCCCTAAAGAAGGACATATCTCAGCTTATTCTCATTCCTGTCAACAACCGCATCAGTGCAAGCATAGATCTAATTGCAAGTGAGTTCATGTTCATTTTGAACTCTCAAACAGCACTTAATATTCTAAAGTGCATATCTCTTTCGTACATATCGTGAAACATGTTTTTGAGAAAATAGAGCTACGGAAACATAATAGATAATGAACTAGAGATATTCAAGAGCTTGTTGGGAAGACGACTGAATCAACACTGCGAGCACCGTGTACACTTGAACTTCTGTCACAGCTTCTGTTGATTGTAAGAGAAATTTCGCTTTATTTTTATGGCGACTCCCTTTCAGTAATTTGTTCAGAGTAGGTAACTTTCAAGTATGAATCCAAAAAGATCTTTCAGTGGAGGCATTCTAGAGTTGAGTTTTATGTTTACGTGACTGATGTAGTGTTTATACAAGACATTTCCTAAGTTGCTACCAAGAGTAAAACATTTTGAATATCAGAAAGTTTTGCAACGTTCAACGTAACTTATTATAAACGTGTGAAGAACCCTAATAACACAATTGTGTCCCATGGATATCCATAGGACGTCCTGTCGAGACATTCAGGACGTCCATAGGACGTTCGAAATTGGAACAGTGGACGTCCATTGGACGTCTGTGGGACGCATAATGTCCCACTTGAGGACCAACTAGGGACGTCCTTGAGGGATGTCCCTGGGAAAACTATCGAATACCTAAATCCCACAGTATTCCTTATCAAGCACTACGGAGGACATCCTTAGGAGATCTGTAGGACAACCTATCAGTAACGCTGGGGGATATCAATTGGATGTCCATAGGATGTCCCAGGGACGTACGAATTATTCTTGAATTTGAATTTTTCTGGGTCTTTCTAGGACCAGATCTTGCATAACTGATGACGACATCCAGTTGAGGTGATGGTCCATAGAAGGTCCACAATAGATCCTGAGAAAGTTTCGCAAGGATGTCCAATGAACTTACGTGAAGGACATTGACGAGGAGTACTTATAGCCTACGAGCAATCATTCGTCGGCGAGGTGTAAGTTAATGTCCTCGTAGGGACAACATATTGAAAGTACCGACTGGGACGTCTGTAGGACGTTAATTTTAGGACATTGGAAGAGTACAGTTCATGTACCAATTGAGACATTCGACGGATATCCCTAAGGAACATTCCGATTGTTATACGATCCTGGAAATATTAAGGGCGTCTGTGCAGAGATATTTGAAGGAATGTACCATCAGGGACATTTCATGGTTGTCTAGAAGGGACATTATACATATAAGATCTGAAGTTATGCCAGAATATGTACTACTTGGTACATCCGATGGATGTCCGTGAAGGAACGTTTAAAATCATATCCCATCATGGACATGCCAAGGACGTCCTTGCATGGACATTCTACAATATAAACCACGTGACACGTCTAAGGGATGCTATTTCTAGGACATTTGAAATGATGTACCTGCGATGACATTTCGTGGACCTCCTTGCTCGGACATTGCATGAGATGTACGGGATGGGACGTTCCTAGGACACTTATTGTTGGTCCGGGGCATTCGGACTTGAATTGTACCAAATAGGGACGTCCCTAGGACGTTGTGTGCTATTAGGGAAGTCCATATTGCTCAAAGTCGAGTGGTAGTCTTTGGAGGTAGAGTAAATCTCAAAATCATCTCCACGACATTTATTAGTTGAAGATAGTTATGTTGCGAATGGAAGGAACAATTTTTGGGCTTATGATAAGCCCATCATCAGCCAAGGTTTATAACGTCATGAGGATGAAGAAATGTTCTTCAAAGTTGCGAAATCTTATTAAATTGAATAGTGAACATGGTGGATTAGTATAATATAAAACAGGTATTTTTATTTCAAGAAGGGCGTGTACCCTCTAAGATAACCTCAGGAGGTTTTCATGAATTAAAAAACTAAAAAGTTAAAAAAATTTTGAAAAACTCACATGAGTAGGACTTGAGGCCCCTCTTGAAATAAAAATATCTGTTTTATACTATAATAATTCACGGCATGTTTACTATTCATTTTGATATGATTTCACAACTTTGAAGAACATTTTTTCATACTCAAGACGTTTTAAACCTTGGCTGATGATGGACTTATTATAAGCCCGAAACATGTCCCTTCCATTTGCAACATAACTATGTTCAACTATCAAATATCGTGGAGACTATTTCGACAGTAACTTATTATGTTTACAAAATATTTGATGAATTAGCTTACCTCTTGTGATAGGGATCCACGAAGTCAGGCATGAACTTTATACTCTCAAGGAAGCTCTCATTGAGGGTCCTGAAAATGAATATACATACTATAAGTATTTACTCATCACGAATTCTGTCAGAATCTTATATAGATAATATTAGTTGATAGGTTACTGAGATTGGATTTGTCATTTTCATTATACTGTTTTTTCATTGACTCAATAGGAATCTTCACACCATACACGTATTTTTGTTGCAAATCATATAATCCAGTAACTTTGTCGCCTGAAAGTATGAGGGAGTATACGTCAAATCCGGTAGTTATGATTTTTCGCAGACTGCAGATTTGTTAATGATGTTGGCCTCAAGAATAATCCAAGTTTCTGACCTCGAGCGCCAGACGCAACTTCGTCAAGAACCGAAAATACCGCGGAAAAATCATTTTTTTTTTCATGTTGACGATGATAACCATAGAGGACTAGTTCTTGAAGAAACTTTCCAAAGTAGACTGAATTAGCTACAATATAATATTAGAATTGACTCTATAAACCCAATAGTTTCCGAGAGTAAGCCTTCCAAAGTTCATCAGTTTTTCCGAACTCTGCAATTTTTTGTAATTCTGTCGTTCTAAATGAATTTCGACCCTGATTATACTATCGAAGCCCTGTACTATCATGATAATTAAAAATGAAAACGAGAAGTGTGAACGATGATGTACAATACTACGAAAGATAGAGTAAAAAAGATGAATACAACAAAAGTCAATGAGTTTATTTGTTGAGAAATTGAGTCATATCTTTTAATCAAATTCAGAAAATTAAATTGATTCAGACCAAAAAATTACATTAATTGATTCGTTCCATGAAGCTGCTAACAACAAGAATGGGAAATCACAACATTCAAGTACTTCAATCAGAGCAAGATGTAACTGCTGCCTCTACTGATGATATAGTGGTAGTCGTTGGTGAGGACATTGACTTGCTGATCATCCTTACTATGATCTGAAACCAACGACAAATTTTGTGAAATGAATGTGGAAGAGGCGAAGCATCAGATGCCATGTATTCCAGCATCGCTTCTTCAGAGTCCTCTTTAAAACCATCAGAGCTATTCCTCTTCATCCATGCCTTCAGTGGTTGTGACACGACATTCTGCTTCTTTGGCTTAGGGAAGAAGCTAGTCATGTCCATAGTCGAAAAAATTCCGGAAGTTGAGAAGCAAGCTGCGATTTTTCCCGACACCCTGACGAGATAGCTGCAGCAGGAGAGGAAGACCTAATTGCTCTAAGCGGAGGCAACCCCAACACCCATAACCTCAACGAGCTGCGGCACCAACTATTCAACGGGGCTGCGACGAAAAAAAGCTTAAATCTAGCTCTTCAAGTGCTCGCAACTATAAATTGTTCAAGAATCCGTGCACATCGCCTTATAACGAGGCCTTCAAGAGCGATATTTGCATCAATCGCCACATGGTCGCCACTAATATGGTAAGGTGTTCAATTTCTGAGAAGTCATTTGTTATCAGCAGTCTCCTGTCGGCGAGGTCTAACTAGCGCCAGCTATATTGTTTGGGGTGAAGTTAAATTTACTGGATATTTGTTTCAGCGAAAAAGATTGAGTTACCAAACTTAGAATTAGATCAACGTAATGAGCTTCAAATATATATTATTCTATAGCAAGACATTGATCAAGTGAACTTAATCACTTGAAAAAATCTCCGAGGAGTTGGCCGGGTATTCTTTAAAATTAATTTACTGCTAAATCTGAAATAATATTAGATCACATCACATTCTCTGAGACAGTAAGAAAATCTAGTATCTAGTATACAATTTTCATTATCATAGATTAATGACTCCCATTTCATGTTAATACTGGGTGTCCCAAGTTATCGTATAGGTACCGGCAAAAACTTGCTTACTCGACAAGATGAACAAAAAATAGTGAAAATGCTTCAAATGACATCATAGAACTTCCTTTATTATGACTCAAAAAAAAAGTGTATTAGATTGGACAGCCCCCTGGTAGCAACTCCTCAATTTTTATTGAATGGACTCCTTGTATATTGTCATTGAAAATTGCCTATCATCCTATTTCGGGAATGATCGATAGCACAAAATTTTCGACCTCATTCACGTTACATCGATTGAAAATTGCCTCCTCCCATGTTCGTAAAAATGTCCCACAATAAAATTAGATTAATTATTACACTAGGTAGGTACCGTCTGCAATGATTGATGTTCTGCAGTTCAAAATGGAATATCTGTCATTAAACAAAAATTCAATCAATACTTCTTATCTATGAACTTCTTGAACACATGGGTGAAAGCAATTTGAGTAACGTAAAGAAGTCACAAAATGTTTATGTTTTTGTTGTTATCAAGAACAAAACACCAAGTATGTGCTATATCGTTGTATTCCAAATAGATTGACACGCAATTTTCAGAGACAATATGCTACTAGAAAATAAAAACTGATCAGTATCTACCATCCGGGGGCTGCCAAATATATCACATTCTTCATAAGCCATTAGGAAGGTTATTTAATGCCATTTAATTTAGTTTTTTGATGCTTTTGACAACTTGACAAATAGGCGAGATATTGCCTGTGAACTTATTGGGACACCCAGTATTTGAATTATAAAGGCTATTGAGAAAAACAACCCAATATTTTTGTAGGAATATTCATTAATTATTCAGGTAATGTTTGTGATTACTTTAAGAGCTCGCAATGGGAAATGCTCGATCTTGTTACGTCCAGGATATCCTTGGGTGCTCGCAGAAAGAAATGCCCATTCATTTCCTGTTACAGATAACCTCAAGGATTCGCAATAATGAGGAATATATCAAATTTGAGGCGAGATCTCCGCGATTTCTTTCGGACGACTCCAGAGAGTATTTCCCATGGTGAGAGCTTAGAGTGATCTTTGGTACCTCGCAGGGTTGGAGAGTATGATTTCTTCCTGGCGAACGAGCTTTGTAATCAATAGTACTTCAAAAATCTATAATGACACATGCTTTTATAGATAACCAAACTCGAGGCCAAACTAAATAGAAGTAGAAAATAGATAGTATAGTTTTAAAAACTAGAGAGATAGCTTGTCGAAAAGAAAAGAAGTAGAGGATAAATAGAATAGTTCGAAAAACAAAGGAAACACGCTTTTACGGATAGCCAAACAAAGAAGAAAAATGAAAAACAATAATAAAAGTGTGTTGAATATTTAGCTAGAAAAATATTCTCTAGAAATGATGTGTATGGCAAAACAACGTTTACCGGGTCAGCTTGTATTCTTCAACAATGTGTACTGTCAACTTCTCCCTAATGATAAATTTAGAATATGTGAAGTAAACAGCTTTGTTAGCAGCTAAGATGGTATTTTCCATAATATTGTCACGATATAGAGGATGGTTAGTCCATCCATATCTATTAATAAAGGGGTAATGCTTGGCTTAATATTCTGCGAGAGGTAATATTCGAATAGGCACTAATAGTTCAGGGGTAACTGAAAGTACGATACTATATTCAAACATAACAATATTTAATGAAGCATGAAACACTATGGGTAGCAATGAAAAATATGAATCAACAACAATGAATATAAAGACCTAACAACTTACATTATGACGACCATACGACGCGCTCTTGTCAAGTCAAGAGTAGCCCCAGACCAGACTAACTTCGGAACCCTCAGATCCAATATTTATATACATCATTTTATTAGAAATGCACGTTTCTCATGAGAGTTCCTTGGTCAGTTTTTATAATTCAATGTCAACGGATGATTTGATTTACTTTATGTTTATAAAACCCTCATGGTTAGAAATTACTGATATACCGTATGTTCTACTCGTGACATGACCCCTCTCTCCGAGAAAACTGGACCCCAGTTTTTAAATTACTACCTACCTAAATATATCGAGGAGAACATTCAAAATTGATTTGCATATTGTACAAAGAGTTTCAGAAAAAAAAAATATTCACAAACATTCATAGTTTAGTGTCTACAATGCACACTCACACCTTTACTAAGTCCGGCACTGGCAATTCAACTAAGGCATTTTAATCAGACTCTTCTCGGTGGGACTTCTGGCAGTTTGGGGGTAGGGAATGACGATTGGGCATGGCATCTTCCAATCGTCATGGGGATTCCGGCAGGATCCTTTTGGGCTCGAAGGTATCCTTGTCCTGGGCATTGGGATGAAATCTTTTGGGCTTTAAGATTTCCTAGGCTGTCATTCGAGGTAGTTGGCAGCTGAACGAAAGGAACTGCTGGCTTCTTGGGGTAGCGAATGACGACTGATGGGCATCCTTCAATCGTCGTGGGAATTTTGGTGGGATCCTTTTTGGGAACGAAAGGTATCCTCGTCCTGGGTATGAGGGTGAAATCTTTCGGGATAAAAGATTTCTTCAAGGTTTCTAGCAGCTGATTGATAGGGAATGCTGGCTGTTGGTAGTTGCTGTCATATCGGCACATCATCTTAGTCCATTCGTCTCAATGAAGCTAGTAGACGTCATGTCAGAGGCTGATCAGGAATCTCGTGAAATGAATTTCGTGGTCTCCCAACGTCAAACTTCTAGGAGTTATCGATAATTTGTAGCGTTCCCACTTGTCTCCTTTTCGTTCCTGAGCTACCCAGCTACCATCGAGTCAGTCAAACAGTCCTTGGTTTGTCCGTGTTTGGCCATTTGACTGCGTGGCTGCGTCCCCCTGGGTGTCTGATTCGATTATGCGTGCTGTTTTTCCGTGCTCAGTGTGGGTGCATTGTTTTGTGTGGTTTCGTTGAAACATGTGAAAAAGAGAATATATCCAGTAGATAACTATTTACAATGGGCTAAGTATTCCTTACATAGGCCAATATATTATCATACGAATAACCTGAAGTGTTTCGCACAATAAGTGAAAACTATTATATATAATTCAATAAATGTTTAACCTATGCTGGGATCCGCTGTCTACCTCTTTCAAACATCATGAATTTCCTATTTTATTTGTTTTAGTATACCATCAATTCCTGATGATTCCAAATTTACAGACTTTAGTTCTAGAGTTAATTATTGATTATTAATTATAAATTCAATTGAAAAAAAATCATCTCTATTCAATTTCTTAAAATTATCATTATTCCATTCTATAATAAAAACATCTCAACATGCTTGCTCGAGTTTCTCAAAGCATGATTCATCATTACACCTATGATTAAAAGAAACAATATCCTATCAACACAAAGTAACGTGACCATAGTGTCAAGTTCATGATTATTTTCTTTATATTAGCGAGCTCGTCAAAATGCATGCTATTTAATTTTATCACTACTAGTGACCTAGTAAGCAATATCAAAAAAAAAATTCGAATAGGTGAAAAGTTCTTGTTCATATCAGGGAAATTTTAACTGCGTCTTCCCGTTTGAGAAGTAAAAAATTATTGCAGATAGTTTCCTAAATGGAAAATTAAATAATTGATTGAATAAATAAGAAATAAATTATGAGTTACCTATTACCTACTTGCATATTTTTTTTAGCTATGCGAAATTATGATGAATTTTTCATAAGTTTCTATTCGATTCAGTAATTTCAATCATTTTGGTGGTGAGTAAACTATATTTTGAAATTGAAATGAAAATAATTGCCAGTTCTGCCAATTGAAAGTTATTCAAATCAACAAGCGCATGAATTGAAATAATGGTAAAAAATTTACTTGTGTCATGTGAACAAACCAACGTGCCTTCTCGTTGAAAAATTTCATAAAAAAAATTACCTATTTGATAAATATATTATCGAAAATGTCACCATGTTATTTCATACTTACATATTGATCATTTTTGACATTCCAGGTCCAAACCGTAAGATTTAAAAGGATATTCATCTGACAACTCATTGTTGGCAGCTTGAATAAACTGATGAACCGTCCGAGAATTGGTACTTTCATGTACTTTGAGCAATATTTTGACTCAAGGGCCTATGAGATTATTTTTTTTTTTTAATATGAAATATTATCACAACTTTATTCGATTTATTTATCTTTGGTGTAACCGGTTCAACGAATATATTGGCGTTTATTCAATTTAAACAAAAATTACTTCCTCTATTCACCATGTGTCGATGAATTCAAGTAGTAAGAAAGTTTATTATATGAAAATTGAAAAATATGTTGAGATATATTATCACTTATACATTATTGAACTGATTGAAAATAC